TGTCTGTGCCTGCAAGACCTGTCTTGGACTGTGTTCCTGTCATCCAAATAAACCTTCTGCTTTACTGGCTGGCTGAGAGTCATGGTGAATCGCAGGAAGCCGGGGGTGCAGGGCCCTGAGTTCCCCAATACTCCGTGACACCTCTCATGGATCAGTAACTGGTTAAAAGATAGGAAACCAAGGGTAGGAACAGACAGTCAGGTTTCCCAATGGAGATGGAAATGGTGGGGTCTCCCATGGATTTGTACTGAAACCAATGCTATTCAACGTGTTCATAAATGACCCAGAAAGGGGGGTAAACAGAGGTGGCAAAATTTGCAGATGATACAAAATTACTCAAGATCGTTAAGTCCAAAGCAGAGTGTGAAGAGCTACAAAGGGATCTCACAAGACTGGGTGACAAAATGGCAGATGAAATTCAGTGAGTGCAGAGTAATGCATATTGGAAAAATTAATCCCAGCGATACAAACCAAATGATGGGGTCTAATTTAGCTGTTAGAAAGAGATCTTAGCATCATGAATAGTTATCTGAAAACATCCACTCAGTGTGCAGCTGCAGTCAAAGCTAACCGAATGTTAGGAACCATTAGGAAAGAGTTAGAGAATAAGACAGAAAATATTAATGCAACTATATAAATACATTACATGCTCACACCTTGATACTGTGTCCAGTTCTGGTCTAATAAAAAAATAAATAAATTAGAATTGGAAAAAGGACAGATGGGCAACAAAAGTGATTAGGGGTATGGAACATCTTCCATATGAGAAGAAATTACAAAGACTAGGACTGTGCATCTTAGTCATCTTTTTCAAAGGGGTGGGTGGGATATGAGGACAAATCTACAAAATCATGACTGGTGTGGAAAAAGTGAATGAGGAAGTGTTGTTTACCTCTTTATGTGATACAAGAACTAGGGGTCACCCAATTAAATTAATAGGCAGCAGGTTTAAAACAAGTACTTCCTTATGTTTCTTCACACCACAAAGTCAACCTGTGGAACTTGTTGCTGGGATGTTGTGACAGCCAAAAGCAAAACTGGTTCAAAAAAGAATTGGATCAGTTGATGGAGGATAGATCCATTAATGGCTATCCCCGAGATGATCAGGGATACAACCCCATGCTCTGTCCCTAAATCTCTGACTGCCAGAAGTCAGGATTAGATGACGGGATGGATCACTCAAAATTGCCCCGTTCTGTTCATTCCCTCTGAAGCATCTCCCACTGGCCACAGTTGGAAGACCGGACACTGGACTACATGGACCATTGGTCTGACCCAGTGTGGCCGCTGTTATGGCTTAATTGGCTAGCACCCTAAGCATTTGTAGGAGCTGGTGCCTACAGCCCAGCCCTGGAACTCCCAGACCTGCCATTGGCTTCACAACAGAAATATCCTTTGACAGGCTCCCTGACTCAGTCTCTGTAGGAGAGAGAAGGCTCCCATGTGTCATCCCTACCCATCCAGGAGATCTAATCCGCATAAATCACCCTTAGCTCCATGCCACTACCATCCCCATGCCCATGCCTGTGAAGAGCCACTTGTGGAGACACGGGTGAGAAGATCCCAAGTCAGCGCGTCGGCACCTTGGCTCTAGACTGATTACTGCTAAGTAGCATTAAAGAAACAGTAACAGTCTACAGTCATGGCTACTGAAGCATGACAGCTACAGCGCCTGCACCCAGAGCCGCCGAGCAGCCAGAACCAGCCAGCCATACAGGAGAGCCAGGGCTGGGAGACTGAGGTTAAAGCAGTAGAGGCAACCAAGGGCTGCAGGCAGGGGTCTGCTGCTTATCCATCTCTCCATCAGCCATGTAGAGACACACCGGGGCAGGGGGATCACAGGGACCAAAGGCCTAGTGGGAGCTCTGGCAGGAAATATTTGGAGTGAGGGGCAGGGACACTCTCTCACTACTCAGTCGTATCCCCGCTAGCAGGAGGGGCTGTAAATTTGCCATGTGGAGGTGCTAGAGAATTTGCCCATGTTTGCGTTGGCAATTTCTTCCCTCCCCTCCCCAGCACAAAGCAGGGGCTGCCTCTTTGCCTGCAGCATCAGCGATGCCCTCAGAGCGCCTGTCCTTGTCTCTTCCCATCTGATGGGGAAAAGTAGGGTGATCATGTAGGGCTCCCGGAACTTAAATCCAGCTTCCACCAGACAGAACTGAGGTCGCAGTCCAGGGGCCTACAGGGCTGACAAGTGAGGTGTAAAATGGCAGCCCTGCCCTATGGCCTGGTCTCAACCCAGTACTAGCCAGGCTAGTGCTGGATTCTGTGGGGTCATAGCTGCTGCTGGGCAGTGGAGGGCCATGGAGTTGATTGGGAGGCCTGCCTGCTCATGGCTGCAGCCTTCGTGGGGGTGGCTGGTTCTGTGCTGTGTGGATGAACTGCCGGCAGTTATCAAACTCAAACCCGGGGTTTGGCTCCAGCGGGACTAGGAGGCCAAGACAATCAGCTGTGCAAGTTGCCCTTGCTGAGGGTGGGGTGTGTGTGGAGGGGTTCGGGGGCTTTGACATGACCTTACACTCTGGTCCTATGTCTAGTGGCCTAACAATCCGCACGGTCTTAGAACGCCATTCCAACTGGCACGTCTGGCCCGGCCTTGCACGTCCTTCACCCCCTCTGTCTGCGGGAGGAGCTGGGCTGGCTGTGCAGGCCTGTGTCATTTGGACATTGTATTGTCCAGGCAGCTGGCTGAACTGAGCCTCAATCAAAGCGCTGCTGCTAGATGGGCTTCCTGGCAGCTGTCCATGGTGCTGGGCTGTAGCCGGCTGGGAAGCACAGTGTGTTTGGAAAGTCCCTTCTGCAAAGTCTGCCTGGCCCCGCAGCTGGCCACATCCCGCTCCCTGAACTGGCTTCAGAGCAGCGACTTCTCGGTACATTTACCTCTTTCCAGGCCCAGCATCTGCGGAGACTTCCAGCTGTTACGGGCAAGACTGGCTCTTGCTTTTGCAGGGTACCAAGCAGACCATCTGGCCATTGGGAGCCTCCGGCTGTGGAAATGGGAGTGTGATTGTAGGAATCCTGGAACGTATGTGGGCACCGAGGAGTCGAGGCTGGTCTGGGTGTCTGCTACTGTTGGCTTCACTGGCATTTGCCTAGATTTCTAGGGTGACTTCTCAGCCCCACCGAAGTCTGAATTTAATGGAGTCAGGATTTCACTGTTTCTTATCTGGAAATACTTGTCCCACATAACTGCAGGTGTCTGTCATGGTGGTGGGGGGTTACTCGAGGTGAATCACTACCACCTGCCTGCAGTGTGAGAGCTTTGTCTGGGAGCCTCCCACACCTACTGCCCGGGCTCACTGAGCTGAACCAGCCCCACTTGCACATGTACCTCGGCTGCATCTTGTACAGGCCCTGGGGGGTTATCCCACACCGCAGCCCTTACTTATCACTGCAGGCATCGAAGGCTATCTCTTGGGCAGATGGCCCCACCGGCTTCTCATAACCCTCTGCCCTTTACCCCCTCATCCATTGTCTGACACAACCCCCATCTAGAAACCTGTTCCCGAGGCTTAGCTTGGCTCTCTGAGGTTTCTGATTCTAGGCGAGATACCTCGGGGGTGACTTGAAAACTTTTCAACACTGTTTCCTTGAATGGACTCTACAGCTCAGCCTGCCCCAGGCCATAGAGTTAAACACAGGTAAGGCTTTACCAGATGCTCTCTTCCTGTGTGTCAGGACGCTGGTGCACTCTGCATGTCCTCTCAAAGCTCGTCGGGAATTCCATCATGCAGCCTCAATGCCTGAAGCTGAGGTGTAACTGGTCACTGCTGGGGGCTCACTGGGGATGCTTATGCAGGGGAGAGAGGCTTTTATTTAGTAATTCCAGCGTTCTGAGCACATGCTCCCTCTTTGCACTTTGGGTCTTCCAGCTCCAAAAGTCTCCAGTGAGTGGCTTCCTCCACTGCCTGTCCCTCCTCCATCCACCTCAGGTGTTCACGTTCCTTTTCCAGTGTCACAAACTCCAGTCAGGCCATCTCTCTAATCATATGGCCACTTGAGTGAGAACTGGGCTGGGCTGGCTCCCCTTAGCTGGAGTGTCACCCTGAAATCTGTGCTCTCCCCATCCTCCTGCCTACCCAAGGGAGTTGGCCACCCTCCATAACTTGTCTTTTTTTCCAGAAGCATAAACCTCATTTCGTTGACACTTCCCCTGCAGTGCCCAGACTCCAGCCTGGCTGGTTTGGAATGTTTCTTGCTTGCTCATTTCGCATGGCTTTATGTTCAATTCCTCTCACTCAAATTAAAGAGGGGAAAAAACACAGTGGGACCTTTTTTCTTTGTTTCCAGCCTTATTACTCTAGGCCCTGATGGTGTCTGTATTTTAATTTATCTTGTGTCTTGAGCATGAACTTTGCTTAGCTAATAAACTGGGTGCAGATCCTGCTGATTACCCCACTGTGACGCTTCCGGGGTGACCTGAGGTGTCAAGCATGAATCGCTACCACCCGCTTACAATGCCAGAGCCTTGTCTGTGCCCACCAGGGGAAGCCTCCCAAGCCTGCTGGCAGCACAAGTGCTCTGCTCGGTGTTCAGCAAGCCCCCTGCTTCTCCCCCTGACGGCTAGAAATTGGCACACACCCCTGGTTAAACACAAGGGCCCAGCCCCAGGTCTTCTGGACACCTGCAATGCAGTGCACCCCAGAGCACCAGCCTGGCCTCTGTTCACCAAACTCTCTTGCACAAGTTGCTTTGTCCTGTCAATAGTAAAACTAAACAGATGTTTAACTAAGCTTGAGCTGAGCCCAAGTAGGTGCTGGTGAAAGGGCTGGAAACCCAAGGCTACAGATAAATATCAAGTGCAGTCTAGAGCCCTTACTTAGGACCAAGTTCTGGTCCTGTCTAACCAGGTATTTCTCACCCTGTGGTTAGTCCTCTGCACACGTCTCCAGTCCAGAGAGCTGGGACCTGTTTCAGTAAAACACTGGCATTGGGCAGAGGGCCTCGCTAATGGAGAACAGCGTGGGCCCTTTCCTCTCCTCTTACACAGTCCAAGACTTGTCTCTTCATAATCCAGGCATTTCACACACTTCAGGTAAGCCTGAGGGTCCCCATGTCAGTCTTTTTTCTTCAGGGCTGCCCCTGTTCTAGACTGTAAACGCTGGGCTGGGCTGAGATGGGGGGTGGGTCTCACTCTTGTGCACTAGCTGGGACCTGCCCACCCTCACGTGACATGCGTCCCTTCCAACAGTTCTGGAACACACTGTGCCGGGTGTACCAACCCCGCTCTGGGCTAGTGGGAGCATCCCCGCTTGACGCACAAGCCACCCATGACACGCACTAGTCCACATTACACATCTCTTAAAAAGTGTACAAACCTCTTGCAGCAGCCATCATGATCAGCTGGTTGTTCGCTTTTAAGGACCACACACAAACCCCGCCCCCCCTTGGTGAAATGTTGAAGATGGTCAGACACGTGCAACATGCCTGCCTGGGTCCCCGTGTGCACGTGTAACAAGGTAACTAGTGCTAATCACGCTCTGTCAGCCATGCAGCAGGCGTGAGTCTTTAGGCAGAAGTTGAATGAGAGGCTGGTGGGGTGGGAGGTGCATACAGGGTAGACTTATACATGCTCCAGGTGCTGCCTGCCCAGGCCGGGGCCATGCTCCAGGTGCTGGGATACTGACATACTATGGGCAGGCTCCCTGCCACCAGGGACAGTGTCTGGCTGCCCAACTTCATTTGTTTGTTTTTGAGTGTACAAAGCTGCTCTTGTAGCTGAAGCTAATGTAGTGAAGCGTGTTAATGGCAGTTCCACTGAGGCATGTCCGTGGGATCGCTGCCCCTGCAGAGAGCTCAGCACAGCGAGTACTTGTACATCAGCAAAACCTCACAAGGTCAAAATCCAGACACATCCCATCTTGGCAGAAACTCCCCCAGCTGCATCTCTGCTGAGGGAGAAACCTCTGTGAAGCCCAGGCTAAGCAGGTAGGTTGGGGGGGGGGGGGAGGAGGAATCTGGCCCCCACCTGCCCTGGATTCCCAGGAACTTGTTTTGCTGTGCACATTTCTCAGCCTTTAGCAGCTCCCTCTTCTCTGTGCCCCTTGGTGGGGTTCCCACAATGGCCACCAGCGTGCTGTGGCTGTATGCACACCGAAGGGCAGGCCGAGCAAGGCTGCTGGGCAGGGCCCAGGGTCTGTCCTGTGGTGGTGGGTATCGTGTGCTCATCACCAGGGTTCCTGGGGGCCCAGAGATGCTGGGCATGCTGTTTTGTTAAGGGGGTGGGGGCCCTGGCAGGTAGCAAGAGGGAGTCTGCAAAGCCCAGCTGCATTATTTTCCCATTAGCCACTCCAGCCTGACTCACCTCCTCCTGCCTGCTGCAGGGCCAGTCATTCGCCAGAGGAGATGTGGAATGGGGCGGGAAAGAGGGAGCCCATCAGTTCTCTCACAAGGGCAAGTCATGGCCTAGGAACTCCCCAGCCCCAGCCTGGAGGAGGTGCTGGCTCTGCCCGCACTGCACCCTGGCTGTGAGAGCTACCTGACTCCTCCTTAGCCGCTTTCTTCTGGGTGCATCTCTGAATTGGGGATGTTCCTCGTGTAGCCCAGCCTGGTTCCCTACTCCCAAGGGCTGGATGCATTTCCCTGCACGCTCTGGGATACGAGGGAGGGGCCAGCAGATGATCTTGTGCATGGGTGATGCTGCCCAGGCTGGTTTGGGGAACAGGTGTGGGGTGGATGGGATTCCTCCTTCCCGTTACGTATACAACATGCCTTGGGTTGATGCTGATCTCTCTTCTTCCCCTTGTCCTCAGGTGTGGAAAGGAGCACCCCAGCCCTGTTGTCCTACACTTGTGACGCACTCTGAACTGTGGACTTTCTCTTCTGGGCCCTTGGGCCTCTTCCTGTCTGGCAGCAGGTGCCCAACTCTGGTGTGGACGTGCAGGGCTCGTACCTTTCTGCAGCCCCACGAGGGGAGCGGAGCAGAATAATAAAACCATCTGCAGCCCCACAGGGCATGGACCTGGAAAGCACATGCAGAGGCTGAACCTGAATCCAGCCAGAGGATGGCTATTCCGGGCAGGAGCATGGCCAGTCACAGAAGGAGAATTTAGCAGCAGGGAGTGAGAAGGGCAGATGGGGTTGGTGAGCCTGGAAAAAGGGCAGGCCTTGTGAAGCAGGGTCCCCCTCCACTCCTGCTCTTCCAGCCCTGGGCTCCCCCACCATGCACAGTTTTGCTGGTGCTGCTGTGTGAGAACATTGTGTCCTCTCGCAGCTCAGCACCTGTTGTGGATCTAAAAATACAGCTGCAAGGTGAGCAGAGGTCAGTGGCACTGTACAACCTAGAGAAGTTGCATTGTCTCTGCCAGTGAGCTCTGGTGCATCCGAGTGGCCTCTCTGCCCCAGTGGCTTGCAAGTTCAGGTGCTAGGTGGGGCTGTCTGACCCCTTCCAGGGCCAGTAGATTGCAAGGCACAGACATGGGCAGGTGCAGAACTAGAGGCAGCTGGGGTGGCCTTTGCTCTGCCTCCAGCCAGTGCCACATCTCCACCTCACAGGCCATGAGACTCCCTGCTGGCGCCTGTCAGAACTAAGTCTCCACCGTGGCGCAACCACTGTGGGAGGCTCTGTTCTGCACCTCAGCCTCTGCCTGGGAGGGGAGCTTTACTGCCAGCTCTTCTGTGGCAGGGGGGAGCGGAAATAGCATCTCACTTCTCTGAGCTGCAGGTCTTGGGTGGAGGTCACAGTGAACACGTGCTGCCAGCACTGGGATTCGACAGGCCGGGGTAGTAGAGGTGTCCCCATGGGGAGCAGCTGAGCTGGCCTGAGTGTGATGGGTTAAAATGAAGATGAGCTGGGTGCTGTGCCCTGGTGTGAAGAGGGAGGGGGGGGGAGTTGATCCTGCTTGGCTGTGATCTAGGTGCTGGATTCCTTTTCTCCTTCTGCACTGACTGAGCCTACCTTATCCCTGTCACCATGGTACCAACTTCTTTTGCCCACACCCCCATGTCTCCAGGGCAACCGTGGCTTTAGATTGTTACTGTGGTTGTGTGTTGGTAACAGTCTACAGCCATGGTCGCTTGGGCTAGACACACACTCATCACAGGGCTGGAGCCTTGGCCCGCTCTGCAGCTGCTGGGGAGATCCTGCCTCTAGGGGGCAGAGCCAGCCCTGTCCGAAAGGGGCCCACCCAGCCAGTACGGGAGAGGCAGACCCACGCCTGCCTGCAAGCAGGGGTACCTGGCTAGGGGGACAGCAGCTGCAGCACAGGGCCGGGTAGGGAAGGAAAGGCAGAGAAGGGAGTTCTCTCATGCATTGAACGGTGCTGCCCTGAGCCCTCTGCAGGGGCAGCGTGGGGTGTACTGGAGGGAGAGGGGGAAAGGCTATGGGGTGCTGGCTTAGGCCACTGAGCTGTGTGGGGAGCTAGGTAAGGAGGGGCCCTGGTGCAGGCTGGCCAGCAGGCTGGCAGTGGGGCTCCTGCTGCACACAGGGACCTTGCTTCCCTCATGGTGTGGGCTCTGACCTTCCTGGCATCATGTGGACAAATGCCTTGGGCAGGTGGGGCTGGGAGGGCCTGGGGCTGGGATCAGCTGGAGAAACTAGGAAGCCAAAGTGCCCTGCACCCTGCACATGAGCCTCCCAGCCAGGTGGGAGGCAGCCAGGGAGCTGGTGCACATGTGTGTGCATACAACGCTAGGTCTTCTAGCCTGTGCCTTGAAACAGGAGCAACAGACAGTCCTATAACTTCACGAGACCAGCCTAGCCCCGTCTCCTTCTCCCAGTCACCCAACAGTAGCGCAGGGAGCCACAGCATTGGACTCAGGCCTTGTAACTAGGGAACCGCTGAATGGACGGGGCCTAGGTACCTTTGGAAATGAGGTGTACAGCATCAGTGAGCCCAGGATGGTGTCGGGGGGAGTTGTGACCCACCTGGGGGCAGGGTGATACTGCTGCCTCAGGGTGTGAGCTGAACTGTAAGGGTCTGGGATTCCCCCTCTGCAGCAGTGCTCAATTCCCCCTGCTCTGAAGCAGCTGATCTTGCCTGTTGCTGGGTCCTGGACTTCCTGGCTCCAGGCCTGGAGTCTGTCTGAGGGAACGGAGCAGAGCCTGCCCAGGTGTACGGTTGGTCCAGTGCTCTGCTGGCCTGGCCCAGGCCTGCATTATCCCCTCAGTGTGAGGTCAGTCACAGCCAGGGCCTGCTTCCCTTCCACACCACTCCTGTAGCACCCAGCTCTGCCGCGGTGCTGAGGGCTCAGGTGCCTCACCTGCGTGTGGAGCAGGTCATGGCCCGGCTGCTGTCTCCCACTCATTGCTGCCTGGCCAGCAGGGTCCCAGCGGTGCAGGGAGGGATGGGGGGGAAGAGGCTGTGCCTCGTCCATCCCTGTCTTTGTCCGGCTTTGGCAGAGGGGCTGGACTGCATTGCTATTTCCAGGGATGCCAGGCAGCTGGGGGGGGAGAGAGATCTAGTATCTTCATCACCCTGTGCTCAGCCCCGCTCCCCTTTTAGCCCCCCCAATGCTGTCTGCGGGGTACTCCCCTGGTGCTCTCCTCTTCCCTCTGCTGTCTCCCCAGCGTCAGCCTTGGGCTGGGTCAGGGCTGGGTGTGGAAGAGACACATCGGGCTGGTTCCCCAGGGGGCTGGGGCTGCACTGCTGGATTCTTACCTGGCCTTCCCCAGCTCGGGATGGGGCTGGTGGGGGGGTGCTCCTGGGTTGTGGTACTTCCAGCCTCCCGGAGCAGTAGGAGTCCACATGCAGATTCTAGCTCTCACCGCACATAAACTCTTACTGTTTGGGGAAACCCAAGGGCTTGTTGGAGGCTCTGGCTGATGTGCTCTACGCTGCTCCCTGCTGCCTTAGACCAAGCGAGGGAGAAGAAATGATTAATATGGGGGGGGGTGCTCTCTCCCCATCAATCTCACCCAGGCCCCCAGCAGAATTATGCCCCCTGCCTCGGGGCCACCATTCAAGGCTGGGAATCTGACATGGTAACACCAAGCACAAGGGAACCAGACCCACATGCTGAACCAGGCAGGGAGGGTGGCCCGAGCCTGTCTGCCAGGATCTGGGACTGGGCGGCAGGGGAGGGGTCACTGCAGGATTCCCTCTGGGGCACCGGGCCCTGGCCGCTGTCAGTAGACAGGACACGGGGCTGGATGGACCTTTGCTCTGACCCAGTCGGGCCGTTCTTACCATGGACGCTGGTAGGCCATTCAGCAAAACAGCTGCTGAGCAGTGTTGCCCTTGGGTGGGGCAGGGAAGACCTGCATAGGCACGGTGCTGGGCTGCAGGCTGGGTAGCGGCTCCCTGCAGCTGAGGGGACCACCAGGCAGGGTGAGAGGGGTGGGGGCCTGGTAGGGGGACCAGACAGCAAATGTGAAAAATCAGGATGGGAGTTGGGGGTAATAGAAGCCTACATAAGAAAAAGATTCCAAAATCGGGACTGTCCCTATAAAATGGGGACATCTGGTCACCCTAGGGCCTGGCCAGAGGTTTTGTGGCATTCCCTGCACAACTGAGGCGGAAGAAGCCTCTGGCCTTGCCTATGCTAGAGCCATGGGGGCAGGGGGTGGCCTGGGTTTCATGAAATCCTGCTCCTTCTACAGGAGCCTGGGACAATGCTGCTGCTGGAGTACAGGGGCACCCCTGGCTGCACGGGCCCTGCCTTGCCTCCCTGGCAGCGGGGTGAGTGGGCTGAAGACACTGCCATGCAGACTGGCTCCAGCACAGACTACAGCTGGGGGACTCCTTCCATCCCTGCAGCCCTGCACCTCACTGTAACCCCTCTCCTCCATGCTCGCACCTTGTCATGAAGTTTCAGGGGCAGGACACAGCCTGGAGCCCGAGCAGGAGTTGGAGAGAGCTCAGGGCAGACCTCTAAAGCTGCTTTCCATTGCCTCAGTTTTCCAGTATTGTTGGCAAGAGCCGCTGGCTGCCTGGGTCCCGGGAAGTGAGTCCTCGTGCTGGAATGGCGGGAGCAGCGCGAGTGGGGTGGGAGCCTTTCCACCTGAGCCGAGGGTAGGTTTGGAATGGGTGCCCAGGGGAAGGGGCTGCTGCTGCCGCCGTCCATCAGGGCAAAGAACATGCCTAACTGCAGGACAGACGACACACTCCGCCCTGTTCCCCATGAGCCCAGACAGGGTAGGCGGCAGCCCCGAGGGGGCAGGTCCCACCCAGCAGGCACGGAGGGTCTCCCAGGGCAAGGCTCAGCTTTCTTCCTGCTGCATCTGGAAGCAATTCCCAACCCTGCTGGAACGTGCCGCTTGCTTTGGCAGCTTCAGCCTCCCGTCTCACAGGGAACAGGCCGTCCCCAGCACAGGAAGTGCCTGCTTGGCTCCCTCCCTGCTCCTGAGCAGAGGCCAGACCAGCCTGGAGCCAGGTCTCAAGCGCTGGGACTTTCCCACCTGCCCCCAGAGCAGGCTGGCTTCCCTGGCCAGGGCCTCGCTCGCTGGGCACCTGGCTCCCCACGCGGGTGGGGTGGGTGTGGTTCTACCACCCCTCCGGGTACAACAGTCCTGGCACAGCTCTGCACACGGACTGTCACGGGCGGGGGGGGGCATGCACAAAGCGCATGGGACAGCAAAGCCTGGGCTGTAAAGTGCCAAGGGGGGGGGCGCTGCTGCTGCCGTGGGGGGCTGGGGGGGAGGTGGGTTACACTGGGGATTTGGAGGAGGGCCAGGACCAGCCCTATCCCAGGCCCGCTGTTCGGGATCGGCATGCAGGGCAGGGCCAGCGCCCCTCCCTGGAGCCCCGGCCAGGGGGTGGTGTGTGTCCTGACAGGCGCTGCTGCAACATTTTCAGACCCCCCCGCCATGGCTGCATGTGGGCACTGGTGGGTGCTGCAGCCTCCCCCCCCGACCACGCACGCACCTCGCCC